GTATTTTTACAGTCTTTATTTTACAGTTAAAATATGTTTATCAAATAAAGGCTAATGTTACAACTAAACGGGGATCCCTTTAAGTCTACATGGCCTGTTTCAGTTATTTAGATCTAGTGAGGTAGCACATGTTTGTATAAAATAGGTGTCATGTTATTAATGTCACTCAGTGGGGGAACTGGGACATAAATAACTATGTTAAAAGAAAAAAACACATGGGGGCTAAAACACATGGTTCCACCTATGGTGCACCTAATGACTGTTTTCCCTCCGTGATAAAATAATTCATTCAAAATCTCATGGCTTCCTTGAACAGCTCTATGAAACAAACAGCTCATAAAGACACAGACCCCCTTAAAGAGCCATTTATCACATCTCAAACAGCAACAAGAACATTAGAGATATTGTCACATTTGTGTTATGAGGTGTGGTACTCAATAGACAGGTTGAAATTCAAATAAAAATAAAAAAAACAAATCCAAAACAGGACAGCACAGAAAGAAAACCCCAGCACAGTCTGTGGGGAGCAGAAAGTGAGCAAGAAGAAATCAGGGGTATAAATACTGGGGATGGTGATTACAGAATGAGAACAGCTGTGGGGATGTTGATGAACAAGGGTAAACTAATTGAGTAATCATGTGAGGTGAAGGAAACAATGACCATGGGAATGCACACATCCAGGATAAACACACAAACACAAAAAACTAAAAAATGCAAACAGTAAAATTACAAACACCATCAAAATACCACAAAAAACTGAACTATGACACAAACTAACAAAGTAAATGTGTTTGAAGATTACATAAAATCATTACTGACATCACTTTCAGTAAACTAAGACTATATGCTTCAGTAATGGGTTATTTAAAACCCCCTAGTTATCATTAATACATAAAACACCAAATTATTATATTAGGAGTTATATGTTGTGAAAAATAAACCACAAATTTAAATATTTACAATATAAACATTCAAAAACAAAACTGAACAAACTGCCTTGGGAAAGAAAAAATTTTCACTAAAATATGTTCACAACATAATGACCAGGTGTTCATTGAAGTGTGAATTTTAGAAATGCTGTAATGTTTTATCAATAAGAAAATCAAATAGTGCCCGATTTCTCATTTTCATTTCTCCGCTGCAAGTTAATGTCATAAAATCAAATTATTATAATAATTTAGCAATAATTTTGTAATGTCCTCTTGCTGTTCTAAGTGCACTTTTATATTTTACAGCTTAATTAGTGATCATAAGACAAAAGCGTCAGGCGTGAGATGACATCGTTAGGATCACTTTTGACATAAATGGGTTTTATTGTCTTCTGGAGTTAAAATATATATTCTTGGTTTAAGATTACATCAAACGATTCTGATCCATTATACAAATCAAACATTTCTTTTGTTAAATTTTTTTTCACAATCATTTTAACTGTTCATATTTTCTTTTAACAAAAATAGTTTAAAATATGGTTGAAAGTAAATATAATATGTTGCCCAAAGAGCACCTGCCTAGTGTGAAACAAGTCAAATGAAGAGCTGTAAACATAATACAGAAAACAACACACACAACTTAATAATACTGTGTGTGTGTGTACTGTGTGTGTGTGTGTGTGTGTATATGTATATACTGTGTGTGTGTGTATATATATACTGTGTGTGTGTGTATATATATATATATATATATATATATATATATATATATATATATATATATGCAAATTATAAACAAGTTGCACTAACGAAAAACCACTTGATTATGTAACATAGAGGGATAGCTCCTGCTTTGTTGCTGTGGGGGAAAAGCAGATTACTTCCTACTCGCAAGCGCCCCCTCTGGTGGGGAAACATTTTTTTCAGGGATACAAACTTTTTCAGAACACCAGTAGACGGCAGCCATTACAGAGGAACGTGTTTGTTGTTGTTTGAGGAGCGGCTCGATTACACGCTAATGTCATTAGTTTGTTATCTTTACTAAGGTACAGGACTGCTTTTTTCTGCTTTTTTCCACATCATGTCRCCTGCTTGRATCTGTTATTATCTCGCTTTGAAGCACGGAGGAGTGTCAGAGGTAAGCTCGTTTCAATTGCTTTTTACGACGCGGTCTCATTTCCGGATTCAATAATTTTGAGAATGAAGCCGATATTTCAGTTAAAATACATAAGTAAAAATATTTATCTGAGTATCGTACTACCCCCCAACTTAATGGATGATTTTATGGATTTAATTTTATATATTATACTTGAATAAATATGGTAATACTCGGGCATATCTAAAAGTGGAAGTCTTGGCTATGCAGGAAAAAAACCCAGGTGGGAGACCTTTTTTAACTCCAATGATACACACATTGCATATCATCATTCACAGGATTGCAGCACAGTTCCTGCCTCTCTTTACTGTGTGTTCTGCATAAAGAAGGGCCGTGCAATCAGACGGCGTGAGACCGTGTCACCGACATAACCTAACATTGCAGTGGCAGAGATTTCCTCTCACCTTCTGCTCTCATGCTCCTGAGAGGCAGATTGACTGCTCTGACAGGTGGTGCTTTTTTTAGAGGATTTTGCGTCGCAAAGAGCTGGAGACTGACAATCTCGCTGAGCACTCGCACTCAGGTCTACGCTGAAGTTGTCAGTCCTCCTCTCAAGAATAAAGACCATGTGTGGCCACTTCTTCTGAGCGGAACAGGCTTCTGAGGTCGGTGACAGACAGGATCAGGCGTGAGCCGAGGCTTTCTACTCTCTGCGAGTCTACATATTTGCTTAATTCCTTTTAGATCCAACCTGCCGCTGCATTAAAAGGATAACATCAGCCTTGTGGGACAAGTAGGGCATTCAGTTACACTCAAAGGACACCAACAAAGATTTATTGAAGCACATCTATTAAACTGACGTCCCACATCGCGAGGACATGTAAGGCGGTCCAACCCCTTATCTTCATGTGAATTCTGCAAAAAGGGACGCACATCTCAGGTCGCCACTTTCGGGGCCGGAGAATAGGTCACAGGTGTTGTGTAGTCATGA